CCACGTGCTCGAATAATAGCCTGCATCCTCCTTGGTATGCCTAAAATTAAGTATCGAACGTCCTCTTGAGGAATATGTTCCCATTCCTCTAAAAGAGCTTGTTGCAACTGATTTAAAGTTAAAGGAGCAGGAACACGACTTCGCATCCTTCGCCCAAGCATGTCCCAAACATGTTCAACAGGGTTCGCATCCGGGCTTAACGCTGGCCACTCCATAAAAGGAATGTTAACATCGTTTAAGTACTGTTGAGTGATTCTCGCGATGTGAGGTCTGGCATTATCATGCATTAGAAGAAAGTCATTTCCAATAAAGTCAACATAAGGGACAACAAAATCTTGGAGAATTTCATCAATGTACCCGGCAGCAGTTAAGGAGCCTCTCGGAAGGATGTACAATTCTGTGTGTGCCTCCATAGAAATTCCGGCCCACACCTTAACTGAGCCTTCTTGGTAGCCTACCCTAGGACTGAAGGTACATTCTGCGAAACGCTCTTGTGGTCTTCGCCATACTCTCTGACGACCATCTGGAGACCGCAGGCTAAATCTGGACTCATCCGTAAACAAAACGCGCCCCCATTCATTTTCACCCCAGTGCTCATGATTTCTGGCAAACTGAAATCCCGCAATACGATGACGCCTAAGAAGCTCTGGGCCTGTTGCAGGTCTACGACTGGTAAGATTGGCTTCTCCGAGTCTTCGTCTAACTGTCCGTTTGCTTATGTTGGTTTGCCGGACGTGATGAAGTCGATTTCTGATTTCAACAGCCGCAGCATGACGATTTCGCAGACTTTGTAAGATGACAAGTATTAGAAATTAAAAATTTAAAAAAAACCGACTTTAAAAACGTGCAGATGCCATCACCACATCTTAACCAAATTTATAGGGGACCACCCTTAAGGTACTAACAAAAAAAGAATCATTGAAATTGGACACCGTGTTGAAGTATAATCGCTGAACATACATTAAAAAAAAATATATCGCGACGAATTGATAACCTTCTCCTTTTTTGATAAAGTGATCATCATGAGCGCTAGTTCTTCGTTGGGGACCAGTTCCAAGTCGTCTGGTGTAAGCTCCAGTTTTCAAAAAACGTGTAAAAATACGGTGCACAGTGCTATTGGATATGTGATACTGTTGGGCAACATATCGCTCACTTCTTCCGTCTTGAAGCAACGCAACAATAGCAGCCGCTATTTCGGGATTAACAGCCATAATTTTGTAGGTGAAATAAACGCAGCACAACTTTAAAACTTGTTTCGATCTGTTAAATTTCTCATAACAATGAAAACAACAGCATTGTTGGTCATGGTTTCATAGCCAACTATGCACTTTGAAGTGATAAGTCCGTTCAATTTTTGATTTTTATTCAAAAACGCTTTTTTTTTTTCTTCAAATAAAGGTTCAGTTGTTGTTAGAAAATGCTTAAAACACGTTGTTTGTTTATGATTAAGATATTATAATAATAAAACATCACAAAGCATTAAAATTTTAAGTTTGTTTAAAAAAATTCAACTGCTCCGTTTTTCGTGCCGGTGAGTGTATAAACAACAGCTTCAAATATTAAGATACAAAATAATATTAACATTTTCCATATTGAAAAAAGTTACTTGCTTAAAATCTATTTATTTATAAAGAAAAATATAAAAATCGGTAAAATAAAAGTCATAAATCATAAACAAAATATAATAATAAACACATGAAAGACTTCCGACACACTGGTAGATATTTGCTAAAACTCTCAGATTGGAAGAGGTTATTTAGTTAATCTCTGCCCTCCATGTGGGCCTTATAAAATTGCTTAAATACTCGTTAAGTTACCCTTTACATTAACATAAAAAGAGGGAATCGAAAAATTTTAATGTTGGGTGTAGCCCTTAGGTGCCGAGGTATTTATGGTCAAGACTCAGACCGAGACTCTGTGTTCGTACAACCATGTTTTCAATATTTTTACGGCGTCTTTGGGTAGGTGACCACGACGTTTGACTGTTCGTTCCAGTGGCCCCACCATTTCATATTGATACATAACTGGAACTTGTTCTTCATCTGAAGAAGTGCTTAATTGACTAAATTTTGAAGTTGGCAGATACTCAGATCATGACAAATAAAATATAAATCATAATACTAAAAAAATATAATAAACGCACAAAAGGACTTTAGACAGTAGTATTTGATGACACTCCCAGATTGGAAAAAGTTTAATTTATCTCTGCCTCTTATACAGGTCTTATGAGACCGCTTATTGTTTTATTTTCTTTACATAAAGAAAAAATTCAAAAATTAAAATGTTGGACGTATCACTTAGATCCAGAAGTATTTAAGATCAATACTCAGACCAAGACAATAAGTGCTTAATTAACTAAATTTTAAAATAATATTTATTGTTCTTGGCAACTACTCATATCATTAAGTGCTTAATTAAATAATGTATGTAATATTATTTGTTAACACATAAGTTATTAAAGAAAAACCAACTAGAACATTCCGTATGCAATAGCATAATTAATGTTGATAATACCTTAGGGATGTTCATTTAAAAAAGAATTGAATGTTTAATTTAACAAATTAACAGGCATAGTGCCACATCAAATCCGTAATATTATATAAAAATCGGATAGCAGGGTGTCTCCATTACCAGCATCACCATCAACATTATTCCATCCAGATATACGAGTAGTAACGTCTATTTAAAAACCAGTGAAATAGTATGCCAGATGGCTAATAACCCAGTGGACCACGAATAAATGTACCAATGTTCTGGTAGTGTCTGCACGATTGAACTCGCGTGTACAGCCCTCGGAGAGAAACCACGGATAAACTCTCAAGGTAAAATCCTCCGGGTGAAAACTTTTGGTGAGAATTCCGAGTGAACCCTTAAAATATGACAGAATGTGACAACACAAAATGACTCAATTTTTCCAAACTATACAATTAATTACCCCATATGAAAACTAGAATCTTTTAACTACCTAGGATAAATGAAAAATTACTCACTAACGCCCGTTTGCACCAACGTGTTTAAGAAACCCCTAACACTAGGGAAGGAATAAATTTAGGTATGGGGAGTGATTTCGTTTGCACCATATTTATAGTCGGACCCTAACGCTTTTATTCGTTCCTTAACTTAGGAGGCCAAATTTGGGCGCCTAAACGATCCCTAAGCTAAGAATGACAGTTGACTGATAAAAAATATAACCCCAAAAAGCAAATTTTAAGTTATTAGTTTGGTTTAAAATATGGAAGGTTTTGATGATGACTTGGAAGTGTTAGATTTAATAGCAGACGGCTTTCCAAGGCAAATTTATGATCGCAGTGAATATTTTGATGAAATGGACAATTTGACATTTTTTAAACGATTTCGGTTAACTAAACCTACCGTTTTGCATGTTGTGGAGCAACTTGAGGAACAACTCGAATTTCCACATAATAGGTAAGTAGTTATGATTAATGAAATTGAAATGATATTAGTGATTTTATTAAGTATGCAAATACATCACGTTTCATGTTTCAGAAATTTGAGCGTTTCTCCTATAAACCAAATATTAACCTGCCTCAGGTTTTATGCAACTGGTGAGCACTTAAGCAGCATTGCCGATTTTATGGGCATGGATACTTCAACTGCCTCTCGAATTGTAAGAAGAGTATCTGAAACAATAAGTGCAGTGTTGAGACCAAGATATGTCAGAATGCCTGTGGAAAGGGAAATGCTCTCAGTCCAGAATGAATTTTTTAGAATTTCATCATTTCCTAGGGTATTAGGATGCGTTGATGGTACCCACATCCGAATACAATCACCAGGTAATGCATATGTAGTACATCCTCATAAGGTTTGTTCAGGTTTCTTTAAAACTTAATGCAAACTGTCCGAAAACCAGTGGAACAGTTGAATTTCAACTTATTCATCTTATACAAATAGTAAACTATTCACTGGTCAATTAGTCCTCTGATAGTTCTCAATTTATATTATGGATTTTTCTATTTCAAAATTATCAAAATCCATACAATGTATTGGTTGTTACTTGTGGTAGTAAAGAAATCAGCACACACATATTATAGTTAACCTGTTACTTTATTTGTTAAAGGAAATCAAGATGGTGAAATTTATCGTAATAGGAAAGGTTTCTTTTCAATAAACACACAAGTAGTAGGAGATGCACAATTACTGGTAAGAGATATTGTTTGCCGCTGGCCAGGATCAACACACGATATGACCATTTTTAGGAATAGTAGGATTCGAATGAATTTTGAAGAAGGGACATATGCAAATTCAACACTCTTAGGTATGTTTTTTGTAATATATGAGTATGTACTTACTTTGTCATACTAATTTTACTTCATCTTGTAGGTGATAGTGGTTATGGATTACAAAATTACCTATTAACACCATTATTTGAGCCACATACTCCAGCTGAACAATCATATAATTCATCTCACATAAGCACAAGAAACACTATAGAACGGTTAATTGGAGTGTGGAAGAGACGATTTCCTGTGCTAGCTTATGGCATTCGATTAAGAGTCACTACTGCTTTAGCAGTGATTCCTGCAACTGCAGTTCTTCACAATATTGCAGTAAATATGAATGAAGAAATGCCCCCTGAAGAAAATGAGCTTAATATGCAGGAACTTAATTATTTAATAGAAATGGGAAACATTGCAGAAGTACCCCACAATGTTATCAATGACAATAGAGTATTTCGCAATGAAATAGTCAATTACTTTAATAATTTACTTTAAATATTTGTGAATGGTACGTTTATATATATATATATTTTGATTATCAATTTTGTAAATAGTTTTACTTTTTTTATTTAATAACTTTTAACTAAAATGTCTTATTTTTTTATTGTAAATATAAAATGTAAGTATATTTTTTACGATTTTTGAGTATATTGACGATGCTAAAAACTGTTTATTTAAGCAAATAAAGTATATTGTACTCTATGTTTATCTCTTTCTTAAAATACAATATAAAATGTTTTTGTATTCGAAATAAAATCACAACTACAAAAAAAAATTTATTTAGGTTAAAACACATTTAGAACTGATCTTAGAGAAAATTGATAGTCTGATCTTCCAAAAAAACACTGTTTGAATTATGTGTTGCAGAAGTAGTGCCAGCTTCTAATTGTCTCTTTTTAAGTGCAATATCCAATTCTAAGCTTTGCATTCTCAGCAAGTGTTCTTTTTTATAACACTCCACTAGTTCCAATTTTTTATTAACCAGTTGCTCATATTTTTCACCTAATCTAGAAGATGTTAATGTTCTTATGACAGTAGGTCTTCTGCGACTGAGTTCTGTTTTCTTCTTTTTTAAATTTATTGAGGAACTTGGCGTGTAAACCTATAACATAAATTATGATTACATTACTTCTTTTTTAATGCACCAGAGTACAGAAACAGAATAGATTTATCTTGTTTTAGAAAAATATAATTAGCATACCTTTTCTATGTTCCTTTTGAGAACTGCATTTGGTTTTGAGTCCCTAGGGCTGAATTCTAACTCTGAATTTTGCTTCATTATATTACTAACGTCGCCATTTGTTGGATTGTCTTGTTTTTCCTCTGACTTTTCACTTCTATCTTCAGCAATATCATTAGATTCGTTCATTTCAAATCTATCATCAAAAAGGCTCGTTTCCTAAAACATTTTACAAAAAAGTAGTAACTGAGTGCTTCAAAGTATAACAGAAATGTTTAATTAATTTTTTTGTTAACATTGTAATGTATAAATTGCACTTACATCCTGTAATACTTCTGCTGGCCCATCACTATCAAAATTGGTATTCATGCCATACACTGTATGTTCATGTACAATCGATAGTAACAGCTCGTCTCCAGGTAGTTCATTAGGAATATTTGAAACACCTCCACCTGTTTTGTACAGCTCCTTCTTCAGATCTCCTTTTCGCTTCCTTAAATCTTCTTTTAATTTATCGTAATATTTCTTAATTGATTCCAACGGTCGGGGAACGAGACTTGGAGAAGCAGCATTAAATTCTTCCCAAATTTTTGTCCACGTTTCTTTTTTTTCATTTATTGCGACCCCATTTGTTTTTTTATTTTCTATAATTTCTTTATACTGAAGAATTATATTTAAAAGAATTTCTTTCTCCTTGTAAGTATAGTTCGGAGCCCGCGATCTTTTTTTTTTATTTTCCGTAATATCCATTATTTTATTTATAATCTATTTTACAAATAATTCACCAACAAAAAAATTAAGAACACGTGTGAAAGATACAATATTAATGAATGAGGATTGTTGAGGTTATGGCGGCAAGGCGGCATCCGCAGGCTGTTTTAAATAGATATAAAATAAAAGACCCTAAAAATCTGCTGTGTTGCCAATAGTCTTATCTTCATAGTTAGGTAGGGAATATTTTCAACTGGTGCAACACTTTAACTGGTAAGGCAGCCCTAACCATTAGGGAATACCTAACTATTCTCGACTTAGGAATTTATTGGTGCAAACGGGCGTGAGAGTCATAAACAGTATTTGTAACGGTTGAAACCGTTTTCGTTATTTAGACCCAAACATTGTAACGGTTGGAAATGTTTTCGTTATTTTGACGCAAACATCTCTACCCTAACGTCATTTGTCGTTTATGCCTTGTGTCAAAACTTGGATTGTCATTTCGATTCGTCTCTGTCAACAAGCAAGTTGATTTGAATTTTTAATTATCTTTTATCTTGGACATCCGATGTACTAATTGTCTTTATTATTTTTAATGACCGTCTGATTTTAAAAAGGTAAGTTTCCTACCGAATATTGTTGAAAATATATATTTTGTACAAGAATTTCTTTATTAAAATGTCAAGTATTGTACATAACCTCAACACATTGAATGACACAATAATCACATGTTTTATATAATTTTATCTATTATTTTGTTAGGAAAGAGATAATATGCTTTACTATTTTTAATTAGGTTAAATTTTTCCTTTTCATTTAATAGTAAAAAGCATTTTATCTGTTTCTTATGTAGACTTCCTGGTTCCTTTCTTGATATTTTTACCTTTTTTCTTGTAGCCTGGATGTATCTAGATGGTTCTGTAGGAGAGATTGTTTAGAAGTTTAGAAGAAAGTTCAATCTGCATGTTTTGATGTTTAGAAGTATAGAAACTTAGAAGTTTAGTTCCAGCTACAGAAGTTTTTTTAAAGTATATCAAGAGGTTTAGTTCGAGTCATCTAAAGAAATTTATGACATTTAAGTTTACCTATGAAGATTTATACTTAAGAGTTGGTGATATCCGAAGTATATCATACGAATCCCCTTGAAGAAGGCCTCTACAAGTCACTCCTTAAATACTACCTATTATTTAACATATAAGTCTTGAATAAATCATTTAAATTTGAATAAGTAAGTCTCTGTGAATTAGAATTTGTCGCTACCTTATCTGAAACCTTATTTAATTATAATATCTTAATGGTTAGTGATTTTCTATATTTTCATCACTAATCGATAGACAAGTTTAGTAAGTTTTAAATATAGTGGCGCTCAACATTCTTTTTCAAAGTAATACGAGTTGTTTAATAACCAAACCCACTCCACAAAATCATAAGAGTTTAAAATACTATAAAAATAGATAAAATAACAAAATCACGTTACAAAATGGCGCACTGACAAAATTACAATTTATTTGCACCAAGTAGCAACATAAAAAAAAATCGATAATCAAAGAAGAGGATGGTCGTTTAACTACAACCCTACTTGAATTATTTACTTCAGTATTACAAATCTTAAATGCTGATGGACTTCCATATATAAAACAACGAACTAATAACTCAAAAGCTATTGAAAGTAGTCATACTTACAATTTTTATGTCTATAGATCCCTTTACGGGGTTAAAAAGGGCTACCACTACGCAATGGAAAATTTAACTACAACATCAATTAAAATTCCCTTTTCATGGGGTAACGCGATAATTAAAAAAATATAGATTTTCTCCCACGAAATTTAAAAGTATCCCCTTTATTTATAACTGTTAAAAAGTCACATAATCAACAAAACTAGCTCGTTGTCTCGTCTACCGTTTTACATGACAGACAACTGGATTCACAAACTCATCCTCAATAATTTACCAGAATATGTCTTGAAGACCATTTTCGAGAGATTAACCCAAAAAACTTTATCCCAAAATTCTGAAAATTTCTCCTGATAAAAATCGATACAAAAGCTGATCGCCAAAAATATCCTTAGCGCGTACCGAACATCACAAATCTACAATTAAAAACGAACGCGCCACGTACAGCGAATGACAGACACCATATTATCCTCAGGTATTATCATTTTCCATCAACTAACTTCAATTATAACCTTATTTATGTAACAACTGAAACAATAACAAAATAATACTAAATTAATAGTATTTATAGAAATTATTCATTATGACAAGATTCTAATCTAATCTAGGCTCATTGTGCATCCTCCTAAGTAGATAGGCACCTCCTATCTCGTAAGCCAGCCTACAGATTTAATGTAGTTGACAACGTCGCCAAGAGGTGCTTCTCTTATATCGGCCGGTGTTAGCCAATTCTCGCCAAACACAAATTTTCTAATAAATGAGAGCATCGAAAAATCGTCAAAGATATGCTCGATGGTCGCATCTTTTTGTCCGCACCCTCTCCAGAGTGCGGATTCTGACGACGCCATGATATTGAGATGCTTTTGTACTTGGCAATGTCTTGTCAGAATCTGTGATCAGGCGCAGATTCTGTCTATTTATAGTCAAGTATGTGTTCGCTGTAGTGTTGTCAGGATAACTTAAAAGCTTCCTGGCAAGGCTGCAGCTTCTAGTCTCATCCCATATTTCCTTGAATTTCACAAGGAAATGTACTTTAATTAGGTTTGTCACTAATGATGTTGTCAGTCCAATAGAAGAGCCAGGTCTAAAAGATATTTAGTTGGCTGCCATCTTGGAAAGTGAATCAGCAAGACGGTAACCTTTTGATGTGGTGTGACCTTTGATCCATCTTAAGTTGACCACATTACTGATGGATTCTTCAGCCAAAGTTTCGTTTTAGTATTAACCCTGAATAAATTTGTGGTCTGTCCAGGATCAGTAGTACTTGTATGTTACCTGTATAGATGAGCATGTTTCTTCCAGTAATATTATTTCTGCTCATTTCTTTTGTTGCTAGAATAATCCCTGAGGCACTATTGCTCACAGCCTATTTTATGTTTAAGTTTAGGGATCTAGAGTATATTTCACATCCTGAGCTTTGTTTTATTTTAGAACCATCGGTGTAGATATGAATCGTACCTGTCACTTCCGGCTCTTCTATTTTTTGTGTTACAACTTTATATGGCTTATTAAAGATATATCTGGGTGAGATCAAGTCCATATTCGCTTGAAGCAGTGGAAGCTTATCGAGCGCCTTCTGCCAAAACGACATCTCGCCTTACCAGATCCTACATCAGGTTCTATTCCAACCTTGCCAAGGAGTGTCATTGTCATCAGAGCAACTCCTTGATGTAAATGTCAAGGAGACAGAGACTAAGAATGACTTCCATGGTTTTGATCGGTGTGGTTTTCATGGCTCCTGTTATGTTGAGACATGCTGTTCTTTAAATTTGTTTTAGTTTACGGATAGCGATCAATTACTGGGTTTTCGGTACGCAGACACTTGTATCGTATGTTACCATAGGTCTTATGATGGCCGTGTAAGTCAACGCGAATGACTCTGAGGAAGAAACCTCGGGTGCGCCCCACGGTTCGGCAAAATTGTTCATATGCATTGTATGCTCTTTTGACTCTGTGTGAGTTCCATGTTAACTTGCTGTCAAAGGTAAGACCTTGATACTTCACCTCTATTGCAAAGTTTAGCTTTGTGTTTAGGAGTTTTGGAGGTTTTAATTCCATTTTCATCCCTTTATTTGTGAAATGAAGCATTTCTATATTCTTGGGATTGATAGACAGTGAAGCAACTTGCATTCTTTCGCAAAGTATATTTTTAAAATTCCCTGTTTGATCAAGTCATACGCTATTTTTTAGTGACTGTCAGTAATGAGGCGGCTGATGAGGGTTTCGTGAACCATGTTCCACAGTAGCGGTGATAGCACTACTCCCCTCGCAACCAAGCCTTTTATATTCACATCATCTTCACTTTTATTTACTGCTCGATTTGAGCATGTTCTGTATCCACCCACTAACATATGTGGAACATTCCTGTCACTTAGTGAGTGTATTATCTTGGGTAAGGTCGTCTTATCAAAAGCACCTTCTATGTCTCTGAAAACACCCAAGGCGGACTCTTCATTTTCCAGGTATCTTTCTATCCGGCTAGGAACTAGACAAGGGACTGAATCAGTAGATTTGCCTGGGGTATGCACGTTGATTTGGTTATCGTCTACAATCGTAGACAGATGGGTTGCCGAAAAACGTTTAACTCACAGACACCGTATTATCGTGTTCCGTCAACTTAATGGTATTTAAAAAGAAAGTAAACAAATTTGTTGTTATATGCTCGTTATTAATTAGTTTGCTCCACGATACACATACTAATGGTATGTTGACTTTCAATTAAAATTTCGTCCAAACCGCGCACTTACGTAACGCGGGACGAAGTTTTAAGTTATTGTGACACTTTTCGACTGAATAGTGTAAAATATTGTAATAATTTATTCGTTTTTGTGTTAGTAGTGACTATATTTTCCTGTGTATAACAGAGAAGAAATGAATTAATGTTTAAAATGCCGAGCTGCACGGTGGCGACTTGCAAAAACCATAATACGAAATCGAAAAGTTGTGTAATGTAAAACATTTCAAAATGCCACAAAATGTGAGTAAATTCTTATTAAAGAAAAGACAAACTTAATTTAAACAATGGTCAGTGAAAATGCCTAAGTATAATAGGTTTAGAACCAAAGAAAATAACTGGATATTTTAAAATTTTAGCAGATAAAACAGTAGTTTTATGTCCCAGTACAACGGTTTCTTTTGCAGTAATACTATACATTAGAAGTAACTGAATAAAATCTAAAACCGGCGAAATATCGAATTTCAAACACTCCCATTTAATTCTAATAATTCTATATTCCACGTGACGTCACCGTCAGTCAGCTGCATGCGCAGGAAGATACCGTTAGTCTGTGTATCGTGGTTTGCTCAAGGAAATGAACAAAACATTTAGGTATAAATAAATTCGCAACGAAACATTGTTTTCTTTTAGGTGAATTTATCAAATTGAAACAACTCAGTTTTGAATCAACATACTGCAATTAGGAAGGATTATTGTAAAATTTAGGTACTACGAATAATTACCTATACTCATGTATATTCATAAGATGAATTAAATAATA